CCCCAAAACCCCAAAACCCCAAAACCCCAAAACCCCTTTTCAGCAGGAATAACTGAACCAAGCTGAGATAGACTAAATAACTCTATTTCAAATTATTGACTCGATCCCTTCCTTGAGGCTTTGGTCCATCCTGGTTAGGGCGAGGGAAGCTGTACTTCAGACCTGGAGATGTGGCCATAACCATGCTGGAGGAGACCTGCATTGGCTGATCATTCTTGTATCCAGAAAGAGGGATTTCTCCATGAGTTCCACAATCCTGACTCTTAGTGTAATCTTCATCCATATTTTCAATAAATATTCCAGGCTGTTCTCCTGCATGAGCACAAAACTGTTCGGAGCGATCCTTGTGTCCATCTGAGAGCTGCTGGTTTGCTGAACTTCCTCCATCAGAGTTGCTCATATTTCCTTCTGATTGCTTATCTTCTCTTGAAATATCAGAGTCAGACTTGTCTTCTTTGATAATCTGATTTTCATTTTTCATTCTTGAAGCTAAATCCAAATTGTTGTTAAAAGCCAGCAGTGATTGGATCATACAAAATAATTTAGTCAAGAGCCTTGGCTTAGGTGTATAGAAATTAGATCATTTGAAGGTATCCTAGCCCCCCAAATGGAGATCGAAATCTGACAAACATAGACATTGAGCACGTACAATTTATTTTGTTCATTCTCTTTGCCTTCGATTCTATAGCAATGGTAAGCACAGAATGGCCACGAATTACGAGTAGAGTCATATATGAAGAGAGACTTACTAGGAATAGTAGGCTTCAAAGTCCTATTTTCAACCATATCTCTACCTCTCTTCTTCCTTTTGAAAAATTTGGTACCTGCTGTGTTATCAAAGACAGAGCTTCGCCTTCTCTCTTGGTTACCAGAATTGCTGTTGGTACCATAGAGGCTCTTCTGAAGCCTTGTCTTCTTTTCTTTTACTAGGTGCTTTCTCCATTTATCAATGATGATTCTTATCTTTCGTCTCTTGAGCAGCTTTAGGATACTCTTCATTTTTCTGAGCCTGACTAATACCAAATTAGCTTGTATGAGAAATTTAACCTAATATTTGACAGATCGAAAGAGCATGCAAAGATAATTATGAGAGTCAGAGCTGAGCAAGCCCCTCAGGAGGTATGGACTTACCAACCAGGTTTCTCCAAACAGTTTGAATAGTAACAGCTGCGTCTTCCTTAACTCGATCTTTGAGAGTCTCGAAGAACTTCTCGTTGGATGAAAGTCTTTCCTTCATCATAATATCCCAGCTTTTCCTTGTAAGGAACCCTCTGAAGAAAGATTGGATTCTGATGACCTTAGCAAGGTACGCCTTAGCTTCCTCCTTCTTTGTTTTAATCCTCTGATGATGCCTCTTCCAAGTGTGCTGGACCTTGATAGCAAGCCTGAGTTTGTTACTCAGATGTTGGGCATACCTCTTGCGTTGCAGCCAACCTCTGACATAAGATTGGATAGTGACAACCATCTGGTGGAGCTGTTTCTTCCTCTGAATCTTCTTGAAATATCTCTTGATCAAAGTCATATCAAGAGTATGGTACAGCTTGTAGGGCACTTTAACCTTGTGTTTCTTTTCTAGCTCTCTGATTTGCTTGAGGATGCCTTGTTGCTGGCTAATTAGCTCTTTATCTTCCTGGATTTGGGTCTCGATTTTTGAGATATCAGCCCTGTATTTAAAACAGAAATTTACTTATTTATGAGTCCAAAAGTTCATAGCTGTAGCATTAGTCCTGGGAGCAAGAGGTGTTGACATTGAGTCCTAAAAACTAACAAGTGGGCTTACCAATAATGTATCGGTGAATTTACTGTCCTTGTTTCTTCACCTCCGAGCTTCTATGTAAATAGTTGATATTTGCTCATTCAAATAAATCAATGGGAATTCTTAATCCATGTAATCTGTACTAACCAAGATATTACCTTCCAAGGTCATTGGAGACAAGTGTTTGGATTGGTTTCTACAGATCAGTTGCTACAAACTTACCCTCTAGCTGTCAGAAATCCTAACTTCGAGGAATTGCGACTCTTTCAAGGCAACCTTCTCGGTCTAGGCAGCGACCCTAGAAGTGAGTTTAGCTCTTGATTTTTCGAATCCTTTGTGAGTAAGTTCTTGCGTTCTAGAGAAGTTTATAGTAAACTGTATGATTCCCGTCTCTAACGACCCGAATTTGGACAGAAAAGATTAAAGCAAAGTGATGCTTACTGCCAGTTCCAAATCCAAGTGGGCTGAACATTTTGGTCCTCTTAATGTTCGGAAAATTAGCTATAGCATAAAAATTAGTCAAATTGCAAGCACAAGTTCTTTACCAGTGTCAGGTGCTGCACTGAGCACATAGAACTTACTCTTAGCCACACTGTTCTGATTAGGTAATCTATGAGTCCTCATCGCCATGATCTATTTTAACAAATAATATATCAGTTTTGTGAGGAAGAAAAGGGGTTTTGGGGTTTTGGGGTTTTGGGG